TATGTTCACAACTGTGTGTGTTTAGTCAGTCGACATCATGCTGTTGCTGTGCGCATTCTTACCTCTCACTTTTTGTGTGCATTGAGGTTGCTGTTTTTTTTTTTTCTGGAAAAAACCTTGAAGTGTGGGGTAGCGTCATGTACTGCTTGTAAGAACGCTGGTGAAATAAAGATCACAAAAGCATTGAGCGAGTGCAACGCTGACAACAAAAATGAAAGAAAAGAGAGACAAGCGTAGAACCCTCATGGCGTGAGAATCTTGGAAAAAAAAAATAGAAGCGGAGAAGCAGCACGTGGAGGTAAAGCGGAGATCGGCGGAAGAAGCAGCCATGCGAAGGAAAAAACCCTGGCTCTTGCCGTTGCCTGGTGCCACTGAGCCTGTGACTCTGAGGGCTCGACGGAAGTTCTCGGGCAGTGTACCTAGACATCACTCGTCATACCGTACACCAACGACAACCGTTCATGACACACCACCTGGCTGCCAGAAGAATATCGAGCGCCGACTCCGAAGCATCGCGTCTGGGACGCTCCTGGTTTCTCTGGTTGGCACCAACGGTGATGTGTGCGCCTTGACTACGTCTTCCTTATACGAACTGGTAACTGAGTATATGCTTATGGATATCTACTTAATGTTTATACCGCGAGAATTTGGTTAAACATTTTGTATAGCGCGAGTTGGTTGAGCCTTTATTAAAGGTCTATGTGTGTGTGTATGACCGAGAACGTGTGGTCCGTGCGTCTGATTTGTGTAGAACCTGCTGCGGTGGATTCACTACACCATGGCACTCTGCTTCGCAATGCTTCAATGAGCGCCAGCAGCAACGCCTCTGCCAGTGTAAGCGTTAGCGCCCGCTGCTCCCATCTACACATGGTTCCCTGTAGCGGGAGATGGTGCAAGCTTTCTTTAACATTTACAACAAACGTGCGCTTTGAGTTCATATTGCCATCACTACTGCCGAATGCAGCAACCGTACAAGCCAGGGACATGCCACTACTTCCACGAAACGATCCCTTCTTTCTGGGCTTTCCCGTAAGCCCCATTACTGGCCGTGACATCAACATTTGCATCTGGTCATGTCGTCCCCAAAAAGAACCTTTTTCCCTGCTCACAGGTACGCATGCTTGCCATACTTCCTCCTATACACGGCGAGGAGGAGCACTCGGCTCGAAGGAGGGACAGGCCAATGAGCAAAATTTAGCGATAAAAGGGCGAAGAAGTGAAGGCTGCTTTTGGATCATCAGACGCTTCTAGCTCAGCTAGTACAGCACGATTTCAAAATATTCTAAGAGCTGCACATCTGTTTCACCCCTGCACAACTGCAACACCAAAACTAACTTTTAACTTCTGAGGGGCTCAGGGGCTCTTTGAGAGGCCAGTAAACAGGCTCTGACTTTTTTTTTTTTTACGTCTTACAAACAAGTTTCCCAATCGGTGCAGAAAACTACACCGGTCACATTTTGTGAATTGTGCATTCCAGACAAACCTCAAAGCAACCCCATGAGATGCACACTGAATGAAGGAGGCCAGAATAATTTCTCTATTAATTTAAAAATTGAGGGACCCTTATCGTTTGCCTTTAAGAATAGAACACGAAAGACACCGCTGGAGGAAAGACACTGTCGTCGGGTAGCATGCTGGCTGAATAACTGTCGCAACACCAGAGTTTGCATAGAAGCACTCAAGATACCCGAGATCAGCGGAGACCTACTGGCACCACCGAACGACCGTGTTGCGCGCCTTGCACAGGAACAGGGCCTCAAACTTGTTGACGCAGTACCTGACAGCTACCAGCCTAGAGTCGGAATTGAGCTGCTTGTTGGAGCTGATTACTAGTTGGACATGACATCAGAAAGTGTCAAGCGCTTCAACGAGAGGCTCGTAGCCGCCGAGACTGTGTTTGGATGGGTGCTGCAGAGCACAGACACATCGTCTCCCTCATTTGCACCTGACGAGCGTTGACGTGATGCGCGTCAGTACGAACCAGAAACCAGATGACATTTATCATTAACTTAGATCATTCTGGGAGCTGGGACAACTTGGCATTGTCGATGACACGCTGCTCACCACTGGAAACGACGACATTCTTAGGGCATTTGAGGACACCATCGTCCACAAGAATGGTCGATACGATGTCAGGCTCCCATGGAAAAAGAACCCATCTCAGCTGACAGACAAGGGGGGACGGCATCGCACAGACTTCACTCGCTTTCTGCGAAACTACTGCAAAATGAGGAAATGATCTACAACTATAACCAGACAATCAAGAAGTACCTTCAAGCCAGACATGCTGAGAAAGTCAAGGAAGTGGGTGAGTCCCTGCAGGGGCCAACGTATTACATGTCACACCGCCGCGTTGTCCAGCCAGGCAGCAAAAAAAAAAAACAAGTTAAGGGTTGTATTCAATGCGTCCTCCAAAGCAGCAGGAAAGCTATCATTGAACGACGTTCTCTATGCAGGGCCCAACCAAAATACAAGTTTATCAGACAATATAATTCGATTTCGAATGCACACTGTGGTCATAATGAGTAACATAAAAAAAGTTTTTCTCCAAATTGAGCTGCCTGTGAAGGATTGCAATGCCCTTCGCTTTCTATGGTATCAAAGTACATCAAAGCAAGGTGAAATTCCATCCCCAATCACAGAATATCGAATGACAAGGGTACCATTCGGAATAGAAAGTTGGACGAGTTGGTGTCTATTCATATTAAAAGAAAAGCGGCGCACAAAAAGACGGAGACAAAGAAGAGAACCACACACAGCGCTGTGGTACCATTCGGCGCTACGTGCAGCCCCTGCCTCCTCACAGCCACCTTACATCATTATTTGAAAAGTGGCGAATAGAAATTTCCCCACATTACTAAGATCCTGAGTGATGACCTATATGAGTTGGCTACGGGTGCTGACGGTGTGGAGAAGAGGCGGAGCAGATATGCTTCACTAGAGATGGGAGCCATGAACCTGAGGAACTGGTGATTGAACAATCCAGTTTTAATGGCATTGTTTGCTGAGACTGAGACAGCCCTGAATGCTCTACCAGAGTTGGGCCCCACAAAGATTGTCAGTGTAAAATGAAGGCCCGACAACAGATGAGTTCGTCTTTAAGATGTCCGCCCTGATTGGATTCCAAGTCGCCAGTACACAAAGCTATTTCTACTGCAGTCCTCAGCATGCATTTTCCCCCCACTTGGTTTCCTCGTGCCCACTACTATTACCACAAACATAATGTTTCAGAGCTTCTGTGTACACAATAGAACATGGGGCGAAAAGATCCCTCCAGATGTGCAAGAGAGATAAAACAAATAGTGCTGGCAGCTTCCTGAACTCCAGAAAATAGCAATTCCAAAAACATTAAGATCCCTTCAGATGTGTTAGAGAGATGGGACGAATAGTGCTGGCAGCTTTCTAAACTCCAGAAAATAGCGATTTCGAGAACAGTGGCTCACAATCGGACGAGGGGGAGCTTATACGATTGACACCTGCACATTTCTCGGTCGATCACAAACATTTCTTCCAAATGAACGGGAAGTTTGACGACCAGTACAAGCCTTGTACCCGCTTAGGCTCAACAACTAACCATTCACCATGGTACAAAAGCGACCAAGAACGAGCGTATGCTCATTGCAGGGCAGGATGTTAAAAATTCTGAAGGCCTCAGCATTCCTTCCCGCCATACAGACGCCATTGAAGAAGTCACTGCCCGATTTCACGGTTTGTGAAGAGGGCCACCAACACAAAACCGAAGGGAGCGAAGGGGGTTTCGCCCGCATCTTTCTCATAGCATCTTTTGTAGGACCAACTCTGATGTTTCCTTCTTCCTATTCTACATATCTCTGCTTTCTAACCTTCTAATCACCTTCAATGAGCCAGTCTTGAAACTGTCACCAACAAGTCAAGTCGCTCCTTTTCTAGGCTCCTGTACGTGCGGCCCAAGCCACCCCAGTAGTTACCGTGCAGTGAAGAATTTGCTTTCCAATTAGAGTCAGCCCACGAAGATTAGAGCACAAGTAATCATGTACAGACCTTGCGAGCTTCGATCAGCTTAGTGCCCTGGATGACCCTCTTTCTCACGGGTTTATTCTCTATTAACTTCTTCCTGTCTTGCTCAATGTTGACATTGTTGGCTTCAAAGTGTCCGCAATGTTGAAGTTTTGCTGATTTCGAGTGATCGCACTCTGACTTCGGCGTTTCTTGTCAATTGACGAGTTGTGTGCCTCTGTTTTGCGAACTATTCGGCTACTTTTATGTGATTGTTATGTTGAGCATATAGACACTTCCCGACAGCGGTGTACGGGTGCTGCCACGCTTGAACACGTGATCTAATGGCCTTCCCCTTTCCACATCTTCACCGTCGCCGACAGGTGGCCGAATCGACGCCGCAGCTCTCGCGTTGAAGGCCACCAAAACGGGTGCAGCACACGCCACAGCTTGATGCACAATGCGGTAATCACAAGAAACGTTGCAGTGCCAGGGACTACAAATTATTTTCGACCAACTAGAGTTGCTCAAGATGCCCCTAAATCTAGGCACATTTCGGTGCCAACAAACAAAATGGTAACGCGAAAGTGCGCGAACGGGTTCGACTAGGAAGTGCACAACACGATGAAGCTTCTCCAGCCAAAATTTCTACGTAGTCGACAGAACAAAGGCTTGGGAACAGCCCATCTAAAAATCAAAATACCAAGCCTTCGTTGAAATCGTCACAATCCGGGTAGCAGCTGATTGCATATCAACATTACTGAATGGTACCACAATTATGCGAGATTGACTGCACTCATCCCGTACCGCCTCTTCGATTATTTATGATTAAGTAGCGCACTGGTTCTGCCCAACAGCTGCTCTAAATGTGTTAGTATACATACATACATACGTAGCGATATAATGAGCGTGCAGAAAATGTTCTGTGCACAACGGTCAACAACCAGTTCGATGGAAGTTTCAGCACAACTGTGGAAAAGGCCGTCACAGTTGGGTTTGCGGAGGGATGAATGAGAGTTACTCACCGCCGGCCAGGCGTTGTTGATCGTTACAGCTGTGGTTATCGAAGCGCGTAGTACCAGAGAACACCGTAAGTAGTACGGAATGATACGGACAACAAATCGACGTTTGTGGGTGCGTCGCTCGCCGACGAACGCATAAACCCAACGAATCCAACGGAACCACAGGTATAGTGGCTCCTTCTAGCCACCATACCACAGGACTTTCTCCGCCATTCCACTCACGCATTTGGCGTAACATAGGAGAGGTGGCGCCACTGGCAGATTCACTATAAAGTGAGTGAACAACTTCATTCACTTCCTGCAGGTTACCGGGCTGGGTTCCCACCTAGTAGCTGGTTGAGAGACTATGTCTCTCAGCAGCTTCTTTGGCCTGCTGAATCGCCCAGAGTTGATTATCTAGTCCTGAGCTGAGCAGCGCGGTCCGCCAACGCTCCCGTAGGTTCTCATTGGAGGCCGCGTCTCTCGTTTTGCCAATGAGTGCTGGACACTCCCAGAGAATATGCGCTAAAGTGGCCCTATTACTACAATACTTGCACGAATTGGTCATATACAAGTCGGGGTAAATGTTTTTCGTAATTACGGCATTAGTGTAGGTGCCTGTTTGTAATTACTGCCATTGAACGGACTGGGCCCGGTTGAGCTCGGGGTGAGGCGGGGAGTATTCCCGTCGTTGAAGTCTATATTGTTGAATAATGTCGTTGAATTTGGTAAGTTTATCCACCCACTCCTCCACGAGAGAGTCCGTACGGGTGGTGTCAACCACTGACGTTGCCCGGAACGTGAGGCCTCGAGCCACGTCGTGCGCCACCTCGTTAAGATTGACCTCCGTGTGGTCGACGGGTGTGGGGGTGGGAAACCAGAGAATGCATGCAATTTGGTCGTCAGAGCGGGTTTTGCCTTTTGTAAGGACTTTCAGCGCCACTGAAGAAATCCTACCATTTGCAAAATTTCGGACTGCTGTTTGTGAATTCCTGATAATATACTGGGCATCGGTGTGAGCTAAGGCGAGTGACCTCCTCTGCTGTATCCACGTGATTTGTATTGATTGAAGCGCTGGTTATGCATTTGTGCGTATGGTCTACAACCGCAGAAACAAAACGGCGATTGTTTCGATAGCACGCTGCATCGACGAAGACCGCCTCCTTATTTCTTCCATAAGTTCGGAGCATAATTTTGGCTCTACTGATTCTTCTACCTTTGTTGTGATCAGGGTGCATGTCCTTTGGCAATGGTGGTATCATGAGTTTAGTGCGGATTTCGCGTGGTATGTCGCATTTCATACCATGCTGTGCGTGGTAAGAAATGCCGAGACTGTCGAAAATTTGGCGACCTGCTTTCGTATTGCTCAAACGCTCGTACTGCGAGGTCTGTTGCGCTTCAATCATTTTTTCAACAGTGTTATGAAGGCCTAGTTTAAGAATGAGTTCCGTGCTGGCACTGTGCCGAAGCCCTAGCGCCTGTTCGTAAACTCGTCTGATGAGTGCGTTGAGTTTAGCTCTTTCCGTCGCGAACCATCGATGGTAGCCAGCGACATAAGTAATGTGGCTGAGCACGAAGGAGTGGATAAGCCGGATAATACTGCATTCCTTCATGCCCTGATATTTATTACTTATTCTTTAATGAGTCGCATCGTTTGCGCAACTTTGGCTTCTAATTTGCGGAGTGTCTCACCATTTGTTCCTTTGCTTCCAACCAAAAGTCATAAAACCCGTATTTTATCGACTGTCGGTATGACGCGTCCATCAGCTGTCTTCAGGGTAATGTCTGTGTATGAGTTTGTTGGACTATACTTTTTAGGTGGTCTGCCTCTGAGTTTGGGGTGGTATAACAGGAGTTCGGACTTCTCCGCCGAACACGAAAGCCCTGTTCCGCGTAGGTATTGTTCCACTACGTTTACCGCTTCTTGTAGCCGTTCTTCTATAGAGTCATCGCTGCCATCACATATCCAGAGGGTAATATTGTCAGCATATATGCTGTGATGAAGCCCGGGAATCATGGACAGTTTTGGGGGCAAACCGAGGAGAGCTATGTTGCATAACATAGGTGATATCACGGAGTTCCTGCACTTCCTATGTGTATCTCAGATGATGTGAGTGCGCCCACTTTGACTACAGCTTGTCGGTTAGTAAGAAAGTCGCGAATATATTTATACGTTCGAGTTCCGAGATTTAAGGCGTTAACCTGTTGGAGTATTGTACTGTGTGTGACGTTATCGAATGCTTTCTTAGGATCTAAACCTATAGTATAGCTTTGGTTGAGCGGGTCATGGTGTATATGATTTGGTGCTTCAATTGAAGCATAGTGTCCTGGCGTGAAAGGTGCCTTCGGAAACTTAACATAGTGCACGGGAGAACGTCATTGTCTCTAAGGTAATCTGTTAGTCGAGCTAAGAAGGCGTGCTCCATAAGTTTCCTTAGCCAGGAAGTTAGAGAGATGGGTCTAAGGTTGTGAATGTTCAGTGGTTTCCCTGGTTTGGGGATAGGAATAATCTTGGCAACCTTTCATTGGGGGGGGGGGGGGGGTGTAAACGTCCTGTGGCCTAGCATGCGTTAATGTAGTCCACAAGGTGACTAATAGATTCATCGTCTAGGTTACGTAGTGTCTTGTTCGTAATGGAGTCAAAACAGGAGCGGATTTGGTATTACTACTAAGTGGTTCTTAAGAGAGAAAAAGATGAGAAAAGTGAGCCCCGTAACTGTCTGCTTCAGTGAGCGACACTTCAACAGTAGCTCACAAGGGATGGGGGTGAGGGGGGATTAAAAGGGTAGGAATAAAGGTGTAGAAAAGAGAAAGAGGCGTGAGGTGGTAAGCCAGAGAGAGCGACGGCAAATCGAGGGGATAGGAGAGATAGGAAAGATGGAAACACGGTCACGGGAGTCCGAGGACGGGGCACCACTCGCGAAAGCTCTTGTCGGCGTCAGTAGATGACGTAGGGCGAGCCCAGTCGGCCAGAGCTACGCTGATGTCGGAGATCGTGAAGGCAAAACCGGTCGGCACGGAATCCAGCAAGCGAGAGATGGATTTGGTTTAAGGCGGGGTAGTACAACGTGAATCTCTGCTTCCGAAAATTCCTCGTCGAGAGTTGCGTTTGTCTGACCGGTATAATCTGGGTGTAGTTGAGGAGGTGCTTGGGAGATATATGTGTTTGATATGTCTCGCAAGAGTTCCTCCACTGTACCTGTGTAATCATTGATTAGCTTATTGATATGTTGACGGTGGACTGCTTTGTTGTTCTCAGGGTCTAATAGATGGCGGAGAAGGTGCCATGTTTTTCCGGAACCTATTTGCTTGTCCATGGAGTTGCAAATGTCATGCCACTGTTGCTGGCTTAATTCTTTAGCATATGTTTCGATCTCTCTGTTGAGGAGCGCTATACGTTTCCGAAAGTTCCTGTTAATTTCTGGGTTTTCCGCCTCTTTTGGAGTGATTGTCTCGCTTCCCACGTATATAGGCTATCAATCTCCTCAAAGTGCGCCTCTGGGGGCACTGTTTTTGTAGCGTGATCAATGTCCTGTCTTAAAGTTTTGGTCCAATGTTCAATATCATCGATGGGTGAGACATTATTTTCTCGTAACTTGCGGAACTTGGCCCAGTCGACTAGCTTGTGTTGTTTTCCTGATGGTTTGGGAGGGCCCCCTTTGATGTAGATATCGATGATGACTTGGTCGCTACCTAAAGCCTCTAGCATGTTACGCCATGTTGTTGTGTGTGCATGTTTGACGATTGTGAGATCTGGTGTACTGTCCTTGCTAGAACTGGTGCCGGCACGGGTAGGTGCGCTTGGATCCGTGATGAGAGTTAATCCTTTGTTTTGGGTGTCGAGCCAGACATCGTGACCTTTTGGGTGAGCATAAGAATATCCCCAAGACGTATATGGAGCATTAAAATCGCTTCCTATTATAATGGAATTGGAACCAGCTCGAGAGCACTCTTCGAGAACGCTCTCGAAGCACTCTTAAAGAAGCGCCAAACCTCGTCGAGCGCTTGAAGAAGGTGCCAAACCTGTGTTTTTTTGTGTTTAGGGTTACTGTATATGTTAAGTACGAAGAGGCTAGCGTGTGTTTTGTGGTGTGGTATGAGTTCAATTAGAATGTTATCTATGTGCCTAATTTTAGTATCGTGTTGTGTAACAGTATGGCCTTTGCGGACTTGGGTTGTAAGGGTGGTAGTATCTCCAGTGGCACAGCCAATTGTGCGGTACCGCGCTAATTTGGCGAAACCATGCGTCTCCTGTAGAATAATAATATGTGGTTTGTTCTTATCACGGATTTATTGGGTTAAAACAGCTTTCTTATTCGCGTAGCTTTGACAATTCCACTGCCAAACGTTGTACGTAGGTTGCTTAGCTATGGTGAGTAGTGGGGGTATAAATGTTGCCGGCTGATCTAATCAAACCGATGGGTGGCGAAATGGGTTGTCATGGTTGAGTTCCGGGAGCCATTCCGTTCGATGGCTGCGAGGAGGTCCACGACTCCACTGCTATCATTCTTTAGTTAAAGTGCTCATTTTGCTGTTGTATTAATTGAGTAAGCGTATGTACACAGTCGGTGAGTGAAGGTATGCGGCCAGACGTTGTGGTCATCAACGCACTGAATTCGTTAACTGATTTCATCAGGTCAATAAGAGTGGCATTACTGGAAGTAGTGCGTGTAGGTCTGTCCTCACTATCTGAAGTTTCCGCTCTACGTTTAGGGGGTGGGGGTTTGCCCCCTCCTCCATTTGTTCCAGAGGTGTTTCAGGCATGGTTTGTCGGGGGGGTATTTGCTGGGTGTTGTTCTGAGTTCTTAAATTTACTGAGCTCCTCTTTGAACATGCGGTTTTCCTCGCTTAAAGCATTTATTTTCTTATTGCATTGACTAAGCATTTGTTTGAGTTGAACTTTATCTGACTCAAACTTTTTCAATGAGTTTTGAGATGCGGCCTCCTCAGACCTCTGCTGCGTTCCCGCGGCCATGTCTGCCCACCTCAATTCGTATGATCCTGGTGTTCGGCTCCGTGACCTGGATCCGGACCTTAAACGGGTGCGGTATTTGGGCCGGCCCCGGCCTCCTTGTGGTCGAGGAGGAAGAGTGTCCTGCTTATTTGCATCCTTGCTGCTGGCTGTAAGCTTGGGCGAAACTTGTTGGCGCTGCCAGCGGTGACGTGTCACGATGTAAGTGGTCTTGTAGCGTGCCCTACAGGTCCTGTCGG